ATTGATATGTTTGTTCATTGTGTTAATGTTCATGATTTGGACAATAGATGGTAAATTGACATTGACTCAATGTCAAAATGCATGTGCTGATGGTGAATCTGCACGAGAAGCATTTTGTGGAAAAATACCATCAACTCATGGAATGAATGTTGGTGCTGCAAAAAATGAAGTGAAGGCTAAATGTTGGTCACACGTTTATGAATCAACAACAGCATGCAAAAATTGGTGTGCTTGGTGGTTTTAGTTATAGTGAATATCAATAATAGTTTGAAATTTAGCATTAAATTTTGTACCGATATTAATAATCACTTTTTTTTCAAGAGAATAATGATGTTTTAATATTTTACTGATTTTCAATATGTTATTCAATACAATAAAAAGAAACAGAAATACTCATTGTTATTATATTATAACTATTCACGCATTGCAGCTAGATTAGTATATATGTATTCCATATTTCATATTAGCGACAAACTCAACAAATTTCTCCGTTACGGGTGGAAGAGCGGAGACTTGTGTTCGACACACTTATCTTTCGACAAAAATAAATGGCAAATTTTATTTGTTTTCAATTTCTCCATGATAGTAGCTCCTGTTGGTGTCATATTTATATCACTGGTGTCTCCTTTGTTTCTCTATCTGCTTTCAAAGTTTCAGTCATAAAGATCGAGATTTCGTTGAGAAAACGGCAAAAGAATTTTATGTTCTCATATGTTGTTGCAATAAAAATTTATCATTATACCTATTTTTGCTCAATTTCTCGTTTGTTTTCGATTCTTAAATGAAAGGTAGTTGTCTACTGAACGCAGCCAGTAAGTCAAAGCATCTTTGTATATTAGTTCTTCTTGTTCTTTAAACGAGGCATAGTTGATTCTTTTGTATATTTTTCAATCGATATATTAGCTGACATAGAAATAGAAAAGTTTTCGATTTCTGTAGAAGAAGAAGGTTGATTCTTTGTATCCAATGGAAAACATTCAAAATCGTCCATTATTTTCGAATTAATATAAAATCTTCGTACAATATTTGATTTCTTTTTGTTTGTAGATATTCAACCAGAAAAAGAACGTTAAACGGAATTGAATACAAACAACAATAAATATTGATAATCCAATCAAAAAGAGTAAAACAATCTCAGTTTTGAATGACATATGATTGGGATGCGATTGCACTTCCTAGAAAAGTTTTGTTATCAGGTTTTATCCAAGAAAATTCATTGAGTTCACGCAAGCATCAGCGATATGGGGTGAATGTGGATTAGGGAGTCTTCTCTTCACACCCGCATACCACACCCACATCCCAAAGAGTGTACTTTACCTGCTTTCGACAATTCATCTATACATAACTAGATGCCATAGCAACATGTATTTATTGAAATATTACTCGAATATAGCACAAAAAATCTCAAACCTGTACATTCAAATAATATAAAGGACAACAAATCATAATTCACGAATATTAGATCACTAGAATTAAGTTTTAATTTTGAAATATGTGTGAAAAACGATCAATTCCACGATATTTCTACACAATGATATCCACAGTTGAACACCCATCCATGAGCCACACAAGTGTACATGCATTGCAATGTATCACAACATGTTACATTCCTGCAATTGTGATTTAATTTTCCGCAGCTCACTTCTAAAAAATAGAATTTTAAGAAAACCTTGTTGTTAGACAAACCAATCATGCTAAATGTGAGTTGTTGCATCTTCGTAGAATTGCTCTAGGCGTAACGGTACTAATGTAACTATTACTATTTACAAGTCTTTTCCTTTTTCTAAGTTATCAATATCACAATCTGATTTTAAAATGAAAACAAAACTCGAATGCATATAAATAGCATTCGAAAATATGCAAAAAAACAAAAGAGTAGTTTCGTGGAATATCTCACTTAATCTCAATGGTTGAGATAAATACTTTTTAATGGAGTGTCTGCTATTTATATGCCACCGTATTGGGCAATCTCAATATATGTAAGTCCCAAAATAGTTTTTTTTTACTAATTTGAGAAGGCGTCTAAAATGAATAGTAGCAATTGTTCTATTATTGCTTTGATAATTAAAACTAAAAATTTATCAGTTACAAAAAGAAAACGACTGATTAGTAACTCATACTATTCCTACTGATAATGGAAGCTCTATTTGATTGAAAAAAGGTCAGCTTTCTCTGATGAAAGGACTTTCCAAAATCAACACCTCTATTTTTCAAAAATGCTCTACTGATCGATAGAGGTAAATATTTTAATAGGAAACATAAAAGACTTGTAGATCTGTGATACCTCTTTCAAAATTTATGGATTTGTTTATTTTCATGCACAAATTAAAAATAATCGTGAAATAAAAGAATAAATTATTGAAACTGAAACTAATAAATCTCGTCGATTAATTTCAAGTAGTTAAACCGAAATAACTGAATGGGAAAAGAGATGAGTTGAATCAATTTGATGTATATTATTTGAAAAGAATGTATAGCAAAAAAATTCAACGTTGTTTTGGAGAAACTTTCTTTTATTGTAATATGATTGTGAAGGCAAAGTCCGGAGATGGAACCGGTACCAACAGCTAGCTCATATGAATCAGTTGAATGAGTACATAGGAGAATAGATACAATAGTCTGGTACTTGGATTGTGGAATAACATTGATGGGACAATGTCTAAGTTAATGTTATGCAACAGTTGTACTTGCTAGCTGGCTATTGGCTGATTCAGCGTCAAAACCGAATAGGATTCGGTAAAATATAATAAATATTAATGCATAATCCTTTCTAAACTACATACCTGGAACCGATTGAATGCTAATAGCTGAAGAGAGCAGAGTAACGAAGATAAGGATAGCAAACATGTTTTGCCTTTCGAATAACGAATGAATAGAGTAATACATCTAAAGTTTCTTTCAATACTCATATGTTGATCCTCAGTGAGAGCCTAAAGCATATGGTGACCGATCACATGGTTGATAATAAATTTGGCAAAGGGATTTGATTTATAATGCAGATTATTAAGATTTGTTTGCCTTATCTTTTTTTTTCAAAAGTCACAAATGATATGACTCGAAATCGATAGAAAGAATGAGTAAATGATCACAAGTGATAGCCATTAGATGTCGGTTGACTTTATCTCTAGAATGATTTGTTCACTATTTCATATAAAACTTTCGTTTATCGAACTCACTACAAAAATAATGAGTGTGAGGTTATATTTGAAAATTTCCTGTCTCGTACAAATATTTCAGTTTTAAATTGCCAAGAAGTAGCGTAACAAAAAGTTTCCATTTAATACCTCTCCAAAGAACTGCGCATTCCAAAAGTATACATGAGAGACATTCGGTAGCTATTTCTATGTAATCCATCAAACAAAAATTAAATATATACAGAAATTATTGTTCTGAATAATCTCATTGATTTATTCTCTTATCATACCAATCCATTTACTTTATACTGAATTTTGTTCAAAACTTCTTAACCTGTATTTTTTTTGAAAAATCAGTACATGAGAAAATCGACTAGAATTAAATAACCTAGTAACTAGCATCTACAATTCGTTATTGTTATTATACTGCAATTGGTGTGAGTGTGTGTATGGAATCTGTGAGAGTGTGGGTTTGAATCATGTATTCAACCACACTCACACCCATCGTTACTGATAATCTATAGTTTCAAAAATATTTTGAAGTGTGAATTTAATTGTGATGAACTCAATCGATTCATATTTTGTAAGTTGATTCAATTCAGAAATATATATATAATGATTAAAAAGCAAAAATGAATAAAAACTTGAGCAACATGTCGATATATTTATAGAAAAAAAAATATCATTCATCTTCATGATGTATAAAAACAAAAATATTAAGACCTGTAAAGAGAAAATGCAGTCAAATGTCATTATATGATATTGACACGTAGATATCAATAAATTGATGTCTATTTTGATATATTTGCTTTTGTTTTTAATCAGTTTGTCTTTGATCAATGAGACAACATATTTTTTTTCACGAAGCGCGTCATTAATATCTATTTCAATTCTCTTCTAATTAAAGATACTTTAAACTTACTCGAATGAATGAAAAGATTTGATGACTGATACGGTTTTGGACAACATCGATCAATAGAAGTCTTATTTTTTATTTTCAATCAATATCTTTCACGCACAACAAACGATATATTTAGGAAGAGTTACATAGAAAGTTCATATGTATTAAACGAGTGTACCAGCACAACCTTCATTGTGACAATCACCCGTTGGGTAAGTGTCGGGAATGACTTGTGTTTCGCTTGTCAACTCAAGTACTGAACCATCTGGACCAGGAAAATTTACTTGGATGAAAAAACCTTCCCAACCATCTAGAGGCCTTTCGATTGTTAACGAATAAATAATTGTTGTATCGGTTTGTGCCTATAATAACATTTATAAATCAATCATCTATTGTGATGTAATGTAATTTATACTTCTGTCACAAGCGGAGTCGTGAACCAAATGACTGGATTAGCCATTGGCTTAACTGGATCACTGGGGTCACCAATGAAAAGACGAAAATCCCGTCTATTTTATATGGACACATATTACTAAACTAAAATTAATCTACAGAGTCTAAATACCGTTTATCATTAAGTGTTCGAGCTCGATAACCAATACCGTTGATTGGTTTTGGCCCAACGCTAAAGTCAACAACAGCACGAATGTATCCATGCGTATTATTTGATGATTTTATCCATTGTAACGAAGGTAATGTTTGTTTCTCGAAAAGAAAAAAAAATAAAATCGAATAGTTTTGCTTATCAGTATTCTACAATATTACTTCATAAATACTCAAATAAAAACTTCGTATTGTTAGCACAATACTGATCAAATGACCAATACACTGGTGTTTAGCGTTTGGTATTCGCCTAGAAAATTTTCTTTTCTTCTCGCAATATCGACAGATAATTACTACCTGAGATATGTACCACCAGTAGCACGTTGAAGTTCTCTCCAAAAAGCATCCTAGAAAACAACAAGAAAGAAAATTATAGATGCTTCTCGGTACTATGACGGTGGACATATCTCGTTGTCTAGAAGAAAGAATTCGTCGCCTGTTGTTTGAATTTGTAAAGTTTTGATTGTTGTATATCGATTAAAATAATCTAAAATCAAGAATGATGTAACGAGTTGAAAAACTGTTATTATGTATATATATGATTATTCACTGTATGGATCGATAATCCCTGCCATTTGAGTAAAATTATTAGTGTCAATAGTTCCAAATATATCTAATTCATAAAAATCTTTCATTGCAAATGTCCAACCATTCAAAGACTGTATATATTCATAGTACAATCGTTTCTATTATCAATTGTTACTCACTCGATAAAGATGATGTAAATTCTATCAGAAGAAAGTTTACTAATATAAAAAAAAATAGTATTTAGATGTTACTTACAATTTGAAGATTTACTAAATCCATAACAATGGATGTTGCACCGATGATTCGTTTAGTGTCAACCGCCGCCATTGTCCATGCTGATGAGTAAGTCATATGAAAAAAAAAAAACTTTAGACTTCCAACATGACTTACTTGTCCATCCGCGCTATCAATACGAGTAAGAATTAATTGATGTTCATATAACAAAAAATAATTTACTTTAGAAACACCACCGATAACGAATGTTTCAGGCACGGGAATACGTAATTGAGCTGTAAATTTTTGTACTGCGTCCATTGCACGAACCGAAGCCTGTTATAATTATAGTCTAGAGCACTGACTCACCGGCATGGAAACGAAGAAAGTTACGATAGAAGATACATTTAGCATTTAATTTGTTCATTTTATAAGATTCTGTAGATATTTATAACCCTGTGATCTAGTCATATTTTCTATTTACTAATTATATATAGGAAGATCATTGAGCATCAATTTTTGCATGTGTTTCTTGACCTATGCACGTGTTACTTAATGCAAATGAAACAAATTATATACCGGCAGATAAGCCGTGAAAAGTATTTCTAAAAGTGATATAACAATCATTTATTAAAATTGTAAAAAAAAACAACTTCTTATTGAAATACTTATTAATTATAATTAATCTATGGCACTAACATCAAATATAAATCGTCCTATGCGCTGAATTAAAGTATGCTCACTCTGAACTTTATACTATTCAATAAGATTTTGCAAGGACTACGGAACGATTTATTATTTGTTCGAAATCAAAGACATTTCCTTCAGCTAGATAGAAATAAGACATGATATCGCAGTTATTGAAAAGTTTTCATTGAATGGTGTAATATTCGGAGTGAACATACTGTAATTGAGCGCATAGAATGCTCAATATTTGATCGTAGTGCTACAGTTTAATTATGATTAACAAGTATTTCAATGACAAGTTATTTTTGTACATTGTTGATAAATGATTCTTATATCATTTTCCGAAGTGCTTTTCACGGCTTATCTACCGGTATATAATTCATTTTGTTTGTATTAAGTAATAAGTGCATAGGTCAAAAAGTATATGTAAATTTTAGCAAACAATAATCTTTCTATATATAATTAATAAATCGAAAATCTACCCAGGTTTTAAGCTTGTAAATATCTACAAAAATCTGATAAAATGAACAAATAAAATACTAAATATAGCTTCTATCGTAATTCTCTTCGTTTTCGTACTAACAGATCATTAAAAATCAATGAGACCGATTTCCTTTAGAAATCGGCACCCATCATTTGTTCTCATGGAAAACATATTTCAATACTTTCGTCATTGGTAAATGTAACAATACTGCTGGATTTGATTGATTATCGATGAATGCTTTCCAAGTCCAAGCAAGTGCGGCATTATCATTACGAGTCCTATTTGTTGGATCGTTCGAATAGAAGGATAAATAGAAGCAATTACTCTTCCCAATTAATCAAAAGAAAACTTGCCATGAACCGAATAGGTACATTTGGAATGTCTTGAAGATCAGCAGTGATACTTCCAGTACCCAAAGCCAACATCGACATTAAAGCAACAGATTCGTCGGTTGGTTTTGGAATACTGAAATAATATACATTACACTATATTTATCAAGGAAGATTTCATTCAAACCCGTCTGTATTAGAACCACCATCGATCAGCATAAATGCTGTATTCGGACGTGTGAGTTGATTTGGAACAGTAATACACAAATAATGCCACCAGATAGGTCGAGAAGAAAATGTTTCTTATAAAATAAAAATATGAAATTATATAAGCAAACAAACTTATTTATTTCAGAAGAATTTACCGTCTATCCATTTTTGTGACGTCAAATTTACAATATACAATTTGTAATCAGGCTCCTCATATGTCTCAATAATAGTCCAACTGAAATATGGATCAGGTGCGTTCACATAGTCATCTAATGGCGTAGCTTGATATTGACTAATAAAAATGATAGTGTGTAGGCTGAAGATGGCTAATATTCTTTGATACATCTTCAGAATAAAAACACTTGTAAATGCAGAGAAAACCTGTAGTGATATTTACACTCGTGCTCTTATTATTATTTTTTCTCTATATGCACACCATTTTTGTTGATCTTTGCTTGATAACCATTGCTGTCTCTGCACTTGGGCAATATTCGGATGCTTGTAAAAATTAAGATAAGAATAGTGATAGAGTCTCAATGCAAGAATTCAATGAATCTTTCAAAAAAAAAATAGTAGTATCATGTTCTAAACATGGTTGAAATTCGACCATCATATTTTACGAGAACCTTTTTAGATCAACTGAACTGAGAAATCGATGTTCTGGTAAAATTTTTATTTTTTGACTTCAAGTATTGCTTCACAGACAGGAAAGCTGAAAGCATAAAAAGCCAAACTTTTAGTATTCTTGATCGATCTGGGTGTGAACATGGGTGTGGGTGTTTCTTTTTTTTCTTCTTTCGAGCAGTCAGAATTAGTCGTACGATAACTAGAAATAAAGACGGAAATATAGAAAACAAAAAAGAATGCATATAAGTATATGATTCGATATCGATGGATAAATCGATATGCGTCGGTGCATTGGTTTTGAAAAGCATTCTAAATCATGCAAACAAGCAAAAATCAGTAGTCATCAGTACCAGCAATTATTTATTCATGGTGTATTTATGTCAATTAGAAACAATCTAGAAAGGCAGATGTATCAAATATATACTTTAGAGAGATAGGCACACACAAGAGAAAGAGACACAGGAGAACCACATGGATTTGCAGTATCTAGACTTTATTCTTTCACTATTTGGAATATTAATCATTTAATCGTTCAAGTGTAAAATCAAATGAGTCAACATCACTGTTGAAAGTCCATTTATATGTACTTCATATTTTGTTGAGCTCAATAAATCTAATTATTATAATTAAATACATCAACAATGTCATCATAAGATTCAGTCCATTCCATTTCCGCTCCACTGTAAGATCCTGACCAATTAAAAAATAAGCATGACGTGAGCATGTATTGTTACCATGATTCGTTTACAAAACGGGATATATAGATGATATGAATGATGGCCAACTCTGACTTAATCATTTATTTTTAAAAGAAAATTTTTATCAAAGATTTCACGAATATGAATTTTTTGGCTAATATGGTAATGTATTGGATTTTTCGACAGAAATTTTGTTATATTTTTATACACTTAGTTTCTCTACAATTAGTTATTAAATAATTTTAAGCGAAAAGAAAGATAACAGATAGTGCTTGATAGATTATAGTCGACAAATTACAAAATTTGCTTCAGATTCGGCCTTTTGATTCGTCTTTCAAGCCGATTGTCCTTTGAAGGGCATCGATTTTCAACAAGAATTTGGTACTCTCACTATTTTCGAGCATCCTCGAGAAATCCTATCATGAAATATGTGTAATTTTATTCAAGAGATTTGTGTAATTGTATACGTAACGACGAAAGCAAAAGAAACCAATCTCTCAACGCTTTGAAGTTTACTGGTGATGTTCGACATCAGTAATCGCCACCTGGAAGTGTTGCCTGACGAGTCCCTCTACTCGAAAGTCTCTCCTATCGATCCATCTCGGATCTCTCCTACAATTGACTAAATCTCAATTAACGCTTCAATGTCATTCTGTACAAGGAATTAAAACGGTGAATAGTGAGGCAATTTCGCTTCGAATTGAATCATGATGGTGAGGAAACTCTTTTAAAATCTGTTTGTGATATTGTTCTGGTGATCATCGATTCGATGACACCAGAATGGGCTTGCTCTGATGCGATTCCTCTCTTTTTTTGCAGACTATTCGTGTTATTAATGATAGTCAGCCTGAAAATTTTCTCAGAAGCCAAAGTGTCATATGATGCCGGTCAGAAAGCGATGATCATTAGGACCATACTCAACATGTTGAGCAAATACTATGTTGTACAAGGTAGTGAGCCTGCCAGCAATGCTTGTTTGCTTATTTTAGTAGGTGCTGCATTACATTGTGTGTCGTTTCCTATTTACCTTGAAAAATTCAAACATCCTTTAAGGCTCTCAAAGCATCCTGCACGACTCAGACTGAAAGGTGAGCTTTTCTTTCTGGTTTGTCCGACTTATGTGATCAGGTATAAGATTGCTCGTTGAGAGCCTCATTTTGGCGAAACGAAGTGAAGTGACTTCTAGTGAAGCCTGACACATGCATTCTTAGTCAACTTGTTTTCTTGCTACCTCTGGTTCCAACGTATTTCACTGAGGTAAGAAAAGATGTGAACAAAGAATAGGATTGCAATAGTTTGAAAGCACCTAGAAGCAATTAGTTCTAGCGAAATACAACGAATTCTTTCTCAGGGAAGTTCCCGAAAATGATCAATTTTTATTTGTGATACAAATTCGTTGAACATAGTATTCATAACACAATCGTTATCTCGCTCGTCACTATCAACTGCGCACAGGCATTGCTGGCATGGGACGTTCAACATTCACCATTTGAGCTATATGACCAAAGATGTTCTCCAAATAGATATTAGTTGGATAAGCAACGTGATCATCGATCCATGTTGTGTTCAGATTGAGAAGCGAAGTATCCACTGTCCATTTCGATCCAGAAGCTGGCTGTTGCGAATTTTGTGGAACATAGCTGATTGTCGAGCCCGATTGGAAAGCCCAGCGTGTTGAACCAATCGATCCAATGATGATTGAATCGATTGCCGTCGCATTTGTTGCTGCACCATTGATCGCATTTGGATTGACGAAGCCGAGTGAGTATCCATCGGCACCTGCAGGAACAGGATAGCGCACGCAAGTCATCTTACTGCCAATGATGAGTGTGCGGATGAACATATAGTCACGTGCAGAACCGACCTGAATTGCTGCATTGGTGCTGCCGAACGCCACCGTATTTTCGAGTCGAATATTAGAGTATGTACTCGCTCCGGAGAACTGAAGCGAATCAGTATGAGCCTTCGAGCCAGCTTCGCGGTAAGATGGCGCGAAATAGCAGCCGAGAAAGCGAACGTTGTTAACCGGTGCATTTGATCCTGTACGAAATGCAGCTGTATCTGCGTTGTTGTTCACATCGTACTTTACGTTTGCCTCTGGAACTACCATATTGACAAATTCGATATCCCACGAAGGTGTGTTATCGAGTGTTTGCCCACCGAAGTAAGACAGAGGAGCCATATTAAATACAGAGCTCTCCGTGCAATCCACTGCGAGAAAACCTCGCGAGCGTCCGAATGTATCGGCTCCTGTGAACTTGAAACCACCGAACGCAATCCCATAGCAAGACTGAATCTTAACACTATCGTTGAAAGTACACGAACCCCAATCACCCATTGGAGTAATGAGAATCTTACGTGTCCGACCCTTCTTGCCGA